GTAACTCCACAAATTGCAAAGGAATAATAAACCCTAGTGTCAACGTTGGAACGACTGGGCCCCGACCAAAGATATTGTGGAACATATGTATTTTCCTTTCTTCTAACGCCTTTCCCACAATATTTGTTATTCTGTGTACTTGGTCAATCGTTGCATGCTTTATTCTAAAACCAAACTGATGGTTTGGAATCAATTTCTTATTATCTGTTATCGGCATCAACCTATTTAACAAAATTTTATATATTATATATTTGATGTATATGTTCAGTATACTCAAAGTTAGTATAATCGAAGGACAACACGAAAAGCGGCAATTTTTTAATATTATCCCCTTTGGATAAGTTCATAAGAGCCTGTGGCTTTCATGACGCATATGGATTTCTGACCATTACTTTGATTGGCCTTGTCAATTTATTTTGTTAAGTATGCCATTCCAATTTAGCTTTATTAACAGCTTTAGTTAATTGTCTACATTCACTTTCATTTCAACATTTATTTTTAATTGATCATTCACTATTACAGATGGAGGTTTATATTTTTAAAGTTCAACACGATTCCTTGATGGAGATTTTTCTACTTCAGTGCTATTCATTTCTAGCGTCCGGTTCCACTTCTTGTGAACTCTTGGCTTTTCCGTTCTTTGATTTTTTTTTGGTTTTAAGAATCCAATCGATTTATTTAACCAACTTCTCCTCATCTGTTCCCATACACGACCACACCTATTTTATTTTAATTGGTGCCATTTGAAACTGTATTCTGCTGTCCCAATAATCTTAGACTTTAGGCCTTGAGTTTGTAGATCTCCTTTTTCAGCTTAACACAGGTTTTCCAAATGGCTTGTACAGGAATCGGTTATTGGTCCCTTTTCTTAATGTCATGGGCTTTTTACAATACCTTCAGAAGCTTTACTTTTGCTGTCTTATTTAGACTTTATCCTTATAACCTTCTACATAGTTTTCCTTCTTACTTCCCTAATAGAGGGAGACCTTGCAACTCTTGCGCCAAGCACTTGCGGACAGCTTTGGTCTCTGCCTAGATTTTGGTAGATAACCCTATCGCATTTGTATTCTGAATATTGGACATTTCATATTTAATTAAAAGGTATATAAATATTAACCCAGGTTTTTTTACTGTCGTCTCTCTGAAATCAGACGCATGGATTTTTTCTGGATTTTAGTGTACTCATACCATCGTAGATAAGAGCATGAATAGCGAGCTCCCTAACTGGTAGAGGAAGAAAAAAACTCCGTACCTCATACAAGCTTTATATATAGCAGAATAAAAGGCAGGAATTAGTCTTCCAGGAGGAATAAAGTAAGTAAACATATTGGGGAGGCATAGAAATAGAGATGGAAGGGAGGCACACGAATAGAGATGAAATTCTTCTTTTCACTAATGTTGAACACAGTCCTCGAAGTAAGTTATTATTACTATTGTAGTTGTTAATTAAAAATTGGTTTGGGTATTACAGCATGACTGTGTATCGTTATATTATATAATAATTTGAGCTCAACAATCATAAAGAAAATGATAGTTAAAAAAGGATGTCTTCCATATTTTCACAAATATGGAACCACACATTGCATTTTATGATGAAAAAACAGTGTGATCACTATTTTACACGTAAAGATCAATATATACCTTCAAACTGTTATATTTTTTGAGTAAGAATAATTTTAAAATTGAACCACTATCGAGAAAACCAACTTTAAAATGTCATAATATGACAAATATAGCGAATAAAGAAAAATGCTTCATATTATTTTTTGTTCGTCTGCATCCATTCTATCATGCTGAATCGGGAGAACCATCTACTATCGAAAGCTTCTGCTGTACGTTCAATTTTTCGATACTAATAACATTAAATATGTAATCCAATTACATTTTTTTAACCTAAAAACATGTTTCACCAAAACAAATAAATAAAGTAAAGGGTCAATTGCTTTTTTAATACTCTTTATATATTTGCAATTTGGGTTTTGATTTTTGTTTAGGGAATTACTCAACCATAATTATCTTAACGGTCACGTAAAAACAAATCACTTTTCAAAAGATTTATTTATATTCTTTTTAGTTTTTTTTTTGTTATTGTATTTTGCCTGATTTTATCAATTATCTATATGCGATAAAATTTTCTCCTCTTTGGTCAACGTTATCCGTTACATATAAGATTTATTTCTTATTTTTTGTTATTTTTTGCATTTACAACGATCTTGTTTTCATCGTTTTTTTAACGTTATGATTGAACCGTTATGATCGGGAAAAAAATAATAAATAAAAGCGGAAATCAAATATTCGCAAGCGAGTTTATCATTTTAAAGAAAACAGTTTAGGGTTTGGCTAAACGTTTCTCATATTTATTTATTTTATAGTTCAGATAACTTTTCATATATAAATTAATTATCACCTTATATTTTACAACCATGTCCTCTTCATAATTCATTATTATTTTCTGTAATTCAATAAAGCTATAAAATATATAATTATAATTATTTTCCTGTTAAGGGTTTTTTTTTAATAATTAATGATTTCCTTTAAATTTATGTATAATAATTATATTAATTTATATAATGCACGCAAAACTGCATATACGTATATAAAACTGAAAAATTATATTATTTAGCAATATATAAATTGTGGCACACCTTTCTTCCTTTCACTTATACAGATCGTTAAAGCCAATTTTGGTTTTTGGTATTGTTTTAAGAAAAATCCTTAAACAAGTTTAAACTCTCATTTTACAATTTTAAATTAAATACTAAAAGAAAAAATAAAAGTTATTCGAAATGTGGTATTAAATTGAAAAACCCGTTAATTTTTATAAAAAGTTGCCGAAAAAAAATTTTTTACACACTTATATATGTAAGTGCGCACGTAGCTAATAATAAGTTGACTTGAAAAAATATATGCTTTAACTCTTTCTTGTTTAAGAATCTACCTGCTAAACTATCCACCATCACATGGTGAATTTGACCCACTTTGCTGGTATAACCCAAACTTGGAGAATATGACTCCATTTCATCATAAAATTTGTCTTTTTCTTTTATTCTCACGGCGTTTTTAAAATATGGCTTCAGGAAAAAAGTACTTAAGTCACTTTTGGAAGGTTTTTAGATTTATATTGTTTTACACGGATAGTATCTTTTAGGGTGTTGCTTCAAATATTAGTTCAGTGTATTAATGAAAGAAAAGTATGGGATCATAAATTATGATTTCAAGTCGAAATGTAATCACTTTTGTTTTTTTAACATTAGAAATTAAGTCAACAAAGTCAGTTGGTTTTGCGCAATCTCAAACAACAAAACTATATTGTTCATTTCAATTTACAAGGTCGATAGAGAATAAAATATCAATGAGATTGCCGTTAAAAATTTTGGATTTTTGACTTTTTGAATTTTTTTTTGGATTTTTGACTTTCCCTGAAACCGTAGTTTTAAGTTCTGTAGTAACGTCCCGCTCATGATTTTCTATTATTTATATTCTATTTCGTATCTAAATACTTAACTAACATTATTCCTTTGATATTTTCTAATGTTAGTGCATTTCCTGCCACTGCCTTCGAATACGTCCGGTCTGCTACTCTCGTGTGTCACTTGAAAAAAGTATGAAAGTCGGTGTCATCTACTTCGTGACGGACGAAGAGATCGTAGTTTATAGACCAAATATCCATATCAAAAAAGAAATTGAGTGATCTTGAAAGTAATATGTATAAACGTTAAGCACTTTCCTGCAATATTAATTATGGAGGGCATCTGCCAGCTTTTTTGTGATTATCCTTCTGGTCACAACTCACAATTATTTCTGTTATTTTGGCTGCTGTCGTTCTTATACGTGCTAGTTTACGTACATGTTTAGTAGTTACTTTATTCAATTCACAATTTCAACTAATTTTATGATTTCCATCTATTCAATATGCTGTTATAATCATCACTATTTGCGTAACTATAGTTGAGTGCCTTCAGCTGTTTCGTAAATCACGTAATTCGATGATTCTATCATAATAGAGCGTCAGTCACATTTAATAAAACAGCCAAAAATTAAAACATTCTATCGTGTATATTCAACACCTAGTAATTTAAAATCATTTTTTTTCGAAATGCACTTCTGTTCCCCTGTTTATTAAGATTTATTTCATACTTTAATTGTTTATATCAATTCCAAAATACACCTATATTTATATTTTTTTTGAACAACTTTCCAACACATTGTCTTTTAAATAAAAATATACATACATATATATATTTTAAAATCAAGGTATTTCCCAAAAAATATTAAGAAAAAACAAGAAATTTTAAATTTTTTTTTGTATAGCAGTTATTTTAAACAGTTTTTAAAGTTATCTTTAGATGAATCTTATTTTTATGTTACACTGAAAACTCTTACCAAACCCAAAATAAAATAATAAAGGTATTATTTTTTAGAATATTCAAATAGAAAAATAATGGTTTACTCTCATTTCTATATATTTCTGTATATACATATATACAGTGTGTATTCTAACTACATTATTAGCAATTAATTTTTGTATAAAATTTAAAGAGTATTTTTTAAACCAGTTTTAAATTTAATTTACAAAACATGTTCGCGTAAGTTATACATGCATATCATTAATATATTACAGATTTGTCTTAACATTTTTTTTTTTCAAAATATAATGAATCAAAAAAGAACATACTCGTATTGTTTACCATATATAAAAGAAATATTTTTGTAAGGTAGCTTAGCTCTATAATATGAAATCCCAAAATTATTAAACACAATCCCTTTATAAAAGTAGCTCGAACTAACCTGGAGCAGTTTAAAATGTTATGTACTGTGATTTAGAACGCAACCATTATAACATTTAAATTATTATAAATTTCAAAATTTTGAATATCAATTGTCTTTTGATGCTATACACTTCGTGTTACATATTTTCTTATGTATTTCTTAACACCTAAATAAATACCTATGTTGTGTAAAACAAAAGTAATAGAGTAAAGATCAAAAAATGCACTTACGGGGATTTGAACAAATGTTCCATTATTTACTGTCGGATATGAGAATAATGGCACAACAGGTACAGTTCCATTTTTTAAAAATATTGGGCCTTGAATTGGTGTTACTGTTGGCATTGATGACTTCTTACCATCTAAAATTTTTAATAAAATTAATCAATATTAGTTTTAAATATAAATTTAAATATAATTTGTTTTCAATATTTTTAAATTAAAATTATTATAAATAAACATTACATGCGATAGATGATGTGAAGTAAATTCTGGTGAATACAAAAAGCCAAAATTGACTCTTATTGTATAAAAACCTTTTACTTTTTTGTCTCTTTTTTATTAATATGCTTATATTTTGTTTTTTTGTTTTAATATTTATTTTGACCTTTTTTTATTTATGTAATCCACATCACTAACATCTTTATCAAACGAACTCGCACATTGAACTGAGCATATAAAAAACAATTAAATTTAATACCTTAATAATGAATTTACCTTATTTACATTTAATTGTATTCTTTTTATTATTATTGTTTTTTTATTCTTATATTCTATTTTAGCATGAGGAGTACAAAAATTCAACATTTAAAAACTAAAATCGACATAAAATTTACATCATTGAATCAAAAAGTTTTCATTCATACATACACACATCGATGTGATTCACGTACATATATACATCCAACAGTATTTTCTGCAGGCACATCATTATACACACATAAATAAAAAATAGCATATGAATTTTCTCAAATTATAAATTGCAATGTTCATACATTCACACATATATACAGATATATCTACTTATTAATAAAATATGTATTTAAATGTAAATATACATATGTAAGTGTATTCCATTATTTGGCTGATAAATTATTCTTTCTGATGTTTTTTCTTTCCCCCAAAAAGATCCCACACAATTTTATATTTTTTGTCGTTATTATTACCGACCGCATTACACACAATAAGGAAGGTTTTGTGATAGTGCCAAATTTCGGATGCCGAGTTTTCGGTGGGAACGAGCTTACCATAGTACGGAAACGTAAATAAACTCTTTTTAAAGAGATGTCGATCTCTCGGTCTGTCAATCTGTTAATTTGCCGGTCTGTGTATCTCAAGTTCGGCTGAACTGATCTTGATGAAAATTTATATTTATTTTGGCTATGGCACGGATTGGTCAACTTTTGAGAACTGGGCCTATTTCCGGGCTGATTTTACATTTGTTATATTTTTTACAATGTAACAAATTTTTTTGGAAAAATCAGGGCTTAGAAATCGGGACTAGGATCGATTTTACATTTTTTGCCATATCTGCGAAATGGATGGATGGAGTCTTTTGATATTTAAGTTCTGGTTGTTACCGAAAACTACTTGTGAACTTTTCAGGACATTCAAGTCGCACAAAGCGTAATTCTACTAAAAGCGAAATGCCATGAATGAAATGTCAAAAATAAAAACAAGAAAAATTTTGAGCAAAAAAATCACCCTTTATAATAAAGCACATATATATATATACCTGGAATCATATACATTATCACATACCTTCTTCTAACCTACATGCTTTACATACAAGTATGTGCATATGTATAAAATACAAGATTTTATACAGACTTTTACATTTACTATGTCACTCAAAACATCATCGAATAAACTTCAAATTTTACATACTTTTTTACATACTTTTTAGCACTTTTCCAAAAAATTTTTGAAAAGAAGTGCTTATTGCATTTTTGAAAAGAAGTGCACTCTGTCAGTCCGTCCGTCCGTCCGTCCGTCCGTCTATATTTTTAACTATATTTAAATTTTAGAAAAACAAAATGGCCATTCAAATTTACCGTTATCTAAAGTCCTTTTTTTCCAAATTTTTAATGTCGTTTTTCTTATAGACCCCAGCCTGTAGAAGCTTGAAATTTAAGGGCTGTTAGACACTAATCAATAGTTCATTTCGTTAGAAGAAAATTTTTTTCCATCTCCACCCCCTCTCAAGTTATCACCTCTTCAAATTTGTAAAATTTGAATTTTAGATACCTTATATTTCCGAAACCACAAGCTTTTTCAAATTTCTATAAACGCAAAAAGCTAACGGTAAATTCCATGACATTAAAAAATATAATTATTTTTCTTAACTCACACAATTAAACCTTAAAATCGAGCATTATGTTAAGCCCACTCTATATTAATTTTTGCTTTATTTCAAAGACTGCATATATGCATCATCCAAAATATATGCAATCTTAGAAATATTTTTGTATATGAATGAAAATAATTTTAATAGTGTGATAGGTACGAGGGTCACTATTTATATTTCGGGTCCTGGCAATACTAGTGCTGCCAGGTGCAATCTGACACTTCCATTGGAAAGTTTGACATTTTTTAGGACAACTTCACTCAGAACGTTTTGTCATTCGAGTGCGAATTGTTTTGTTTACAGTGACTTGAAAAATTCAGTACCTTTAGTGGAACGTAGGACGGTCAATTCTGAATGGTACACCACCATCTGTTTGCCGAAAGTTTTCGAAGAAATAAGGAAAACAAAGAAGCGCCGGCGAATCATTCTTCATCATGACAATGCAAGCTCTCACAAATCAGCTGAAACAATGGACTATTTGAGCACTCAAAATGTCGAATTGATGGGTCATCCGCCGTACAGTCCTGATTTAGCACCCAATGACTTCTTCTTATTCCCTCACATCAAAAAAAAAATGCGTGGACAACGATTTTCAACACCTGAAGAAGCAGTCGATGCGTTCAAAAACCATGTTTTGGAGGTGTCTCAATCGGAGTGGAAAAAGTGCTACGAAAATTGGTTTCAGCGCATGCAAAAGTGTATTGATCTTCATGGGGAATATTTTGAAAAACAATAAAACCATTTCCAATGATAAATGTTTGTTTTTTATTGCTAGACCCGAAATATAAATAGTGACCCTCGTATACATAGACTGTATTTAAAAGCAAAATTTTCACTTGTTGAAGGGAAAAGTGCTACAATACAAACCATTGGTTTGACCCAACTTTATTTATTTTAAACTAAACAAGAATGTACTCATATTATAAAATGAGTGAGATAATACAATGCGCAATTATTATAAATTCAAAAATTCATATTCAAACGACATTAGGCGGACAGATAAAAGAGCTTCTCTTTATAAAAAAAAATATTCGTATGAAACTATAAAATAAAATTCTCTTTACTGTAATTATAGAAGCATACACTAACATACGAAACTTTTCAAAATTTATAAGAACATATTATAACGTATATATACTTATGTGTGTGCGTATTATCTGTAGAAATAAACACAATATTATTTAATTTTCATAATAAATAAACATTAAAATAACACACAAAAAAATTTGCATTATTATACGCAATAAATTTTGGCACAACATGTCTATTGCACAGGTTAATTTATGTATTTAACTATAAATCTGATTTACAAAAAAATTCACAAAATATATATGTATACGCATATACATATGCATTGACAAAGAGATGATACTCTTCTTCTAATGTAATATGCTGTGCAAATTCAGAATCAGCAACTTATTCGATTGATCGGTATTGGATGGAGACTTTAGATGAATCAAGGAAAATTTTTCATTGTCTGATATGTATATGTTTCCAAATTTTTTTCGCCAAGAATTGCACTTAAACTCTGATTCTTTAAACATTTTAATATCAAGTAACAGTGCACCGCTACCAGCATATAAGAGTCTATTATGGCCGACCCCCTACTAGGTGTTGGATACGTCCCTGTAACACTCTGTCGAGCCACATCCCTCTATTGAATTCCAGTAATTTTAAAGACCCGGCACTGACGCCTTCTCATTCTCCCCACAAATTCTGGAAGTGCCATGGTTCTTGCCCAACCCTATAACATTCTTAAAACGCCCCTGGTTACAGTCTTTTAAAAACTATTGAGCCATCGAATACTAGGAAGACTCCTCCACGTGCGGAGCGGCCTCCTTTCTCTATCTCCCCAATTCGTTGAGCCTCTCAATACAAACCCGCAAATGCTTCGAGGATAATGAAAGTGACTGTCGCTTTTCATACAGTAAGCTTTTTCGCGTGGATGAATGTGGAAAAACAAATTAATATGCGTTACTGTTGTAGCCTATGTGACTGGGAGTAATTTAGAACAGTTTTTTTCACTAAATGTAAACCATAAAAATTATTTATTTCAAAGTACAGTTCACCAAATTGAATTAATGAAGCAGTCCTTAATGAAACTCGTTATATATGAACATTATGTATCTACGTATATATATGTAAGTGAATTATTTTGATTCATGTAAAATTTTCTCATTATTCATTACAGTATTTTCATTGTACAATTGGCATTGCATTTTTTTAATTCTAAATATGAGCTGCGGTAATTTTACTAATTTATTACACTGCCTTCTTTTTACTACAACAATTATTATTGTTGTTATCATTGAAAAGTCACATCTATGCATGGAATAGTGATGATGATAAGCAGTTAATTTTTAGATTTATCTTCATATTTCTTTTTTTTTTTTAATTAGTTTTTGTCAATCTGATTCATAGACAGAATCTGATCGTTGTCATTTCTATCTCACCACTACTTACGCATCATAATATTGATAGTAGGTGAATTTTCAAGTTTAGAAGGAATACTTTATATGGTAATGAATATAAAAACTAATTAACGTAGTGGTAGAAAAACGATATTAAGATTATACTCAGTGATCAGCACATAACCGTCGGAAGGTTGTCGTTATAAATCATGTAATCGAATAAAGTAAAACGTCAAGATTTGTGTTCAGATTTAACCGGGCAACTTATCTTGCAGAGCACCCATGCTTTAACAATCCAAAATATTTAAAAGTTCTAAACTTATGCTTGGCTTAGAAAGTTCTTCAATTTCTCGTTTTTTTGTACATTTTTACTAAAATCTTTCTTTTTGTGAACTGTTGTTTGCCTATTGAGTAAATAATGTACTTCCCGCCTCAGTTCATATGCGAAGTGTGATTACTTTTATTGTGTTTTTCTTCTTTTTCATTTTTAATTTGGGTTTGGAGGTTTGCCACCTCCATGTAATTTTTCTAGATGATGCTTAAAAAAATGTCATAAATTGTTTACTTTTGCTTTATTTATTATTATTTTCATAACGTAGTGGTA